AATCAGCTTTGAAAGTATAGGCGGAACGTGATGAGACTGGGAGACTATAACTGCACTTACAACAATATCAAATTTTAACAATTGGAAATCTGTTTTTTGGAATAGTTTTTTGTTCCGTCCACAGCCAAAACAATGATTAATTTGAACGATAAGATCAAGTCAATGGAAAACAAGCAAAACGTACAAATTAAAGAATAAACTATTGTATTTTAAATTTTTAATGAGTTCAGTATTTATGCTCAACATGTCCGTGCATATTAATTTCGAAAGATAGATACATTTGAAAATCATTTAATATATGACAAATTAATGTTTAATTGTATAATGTTATTAATTTGCAAAGCAAAAAATTTGTTCAAACCTAATTACTATTTATTTGTTTCAACTGCTGTTATTGGGTATTTCATATTCCAGCATCGACTCTTTTAGCGTTTACAGTTCTTTTCATCCTTTATCTTATGCAAATAATGCATGCTGCATGCAAAAATTTCTTACCATAGCTGACGGCATAGGCAGGTGAGTGCGATTGTGTGTGCTTGTTTATATATGTGTGTGTATGCCATTCACACTCACGTGATAGTGCTCTAAATTTGAGCACGAAATATCAAAAATGTTTTTGGCATTAAACAAGTGAAAAATGGCAGAAACACTGCTAAAGTTCAGCCTTTAAATTTATTTTTGAATTGAAGAAAAAAGATAAAAAAAATATATTTATAAATATTTAAATGTATACTATAAATCAATACGTAATTCTGTACCTATATATTTGTGCGTGTATACACAATATATATTGAGCAAATAAAATGGCACCAACAAGCACGCACCATATTGTATTTATGTAAATTTATTTCCGTTACATTTCCGCCATTCAATTGAAAATCGTCATGTGATTTTCTTTCTTTACCCTTGCTGTTCTGTTTGTTCTGCTGATGGCCACCCCCAAACAAAAGATAAAAAAGTCGGCACAAAATCAGAGCAGCCTGGTAAAAAAGAAAAGACCTCAGAAAAACTAAAAATATGCATCATTCATATATAATATATTCGTTCGGCTGTGCTTTTTGCGAAGCTTTTACTCCAAGGCTGTTCGCTGCGTTATGTACGAGTAAATTGCGGCAAGTCAATCTATACGTTGTTTTCAAACAAAAGCTGCGAACTATTGTTTCAATTTATATGACTGAAACTTAAATATACAAGCGAGAGTGAACGTTGCGAAAATACATATGTGAACGTTTGCTCATCAAGAAGAATAAATTTATGAAGTTTAATTTAAGTCGATTAAAAACATTAAATAGGAAAATTTACTTATAGATATATGACAAAATAGAGTACAACTGACAGAAAATTAAAGTTTAAGTTTATAAAACAATTGTTATATAGACTATTATTATTATTATTTTCTATTTTATTTATTATAAATATACTGATTATATATTAAGACAACCATATATATTTTCAATCCATAAAACAAAATTAACACTTAATAAGAGTAAGAAAAGAAATCACAATCTTTGTCTGCATGGAAGATTCAACTGCAATCCATTTTTTTATCCGACTATTATAGTATGATTGACAAGCTACTTGGACATATATATGTATATATATATATATAAAATAAAATTACATATGTATGTATCTATAACTATTCTTACTTGCAGGTCGAGTTTTTCAAAAACCAAAAATAAAACTCATTACTCACTTATTATACCCCCAAGGTACTGCGGTAATTTTAAGCTATTAACTTTTTCGGATTAGGTGATGTGCTTATTACCAGTCAATTAGCACAAATTGTTTATTTATTAGTACTTTCGAGACAAGTACTATGCGAAACTAATCAATAAATAAGCGATGTTATAATTGTAGAATATTAAAATGATTTGTGACCAAAAAAACCGCTTTTAAGTTTGCGATTAAAAGCAACTTTTAGTTGAATAAAAAACTTATTACATAGTTTTTACACATCACCAGGTGCTTTGAACCTTTAAACCGGGTTTAAAATTTAAGCTACTGGAACCAAGTATTGATTCAGCTGCTGTTAAATTGTAATATTTCGCTTGCTCTATTTTCTTCGCTGTTGTACTTTGTATAAATATTAGTGAGTCGGCCATTGTTGAGAACTGCATGAGGTTGTTATTAAATTTGTATTGAAATGCAACAGCTTTCGTTGCTTAGGTAAAGAACGATATGTTTGCAGAGTCGGCTATGTACACGAGTTACATTTCATTTGACTTATTGTCATATCTAAATTGTTTGGCCCTTGTCGCTTTTGTTGTTACTCAAGAAGACAAACAATGTGATAGCTTATTGTTTCTTAAACAGATGCACACAGAGTCAAACTTTTGTAATACATATAAACACAAAAACATACACGTGCACACTTACAAAATACACACACACATACTGCTTATGTGATTGTCTATTCAGCAGAGCAAAAAGACCGATAAGACCAAATGTGTAGCTTGATGAATAGGAAATTACAAAATTCTCGAATGCACATGTTCGCTTAATTAAACGCTGACAAAACAAACGAGTGGCAAAAGCCGAGCAACGAGCAACGAGTAGTGAATAACGAACAACGAATAGTGAATAGCTCAGCTGCAGCTCATTATTATTATTTTGATTATTTTTGGCCATGGACCTACATCTAGCCGATGCTGCTTCTGCAGCTCCAGCAATAACAATAGCAAATGCGCATCAATGCGGTTGGCTGCCCATCAAAATGTGGCTGTTCATATTGCAGGCAAACACATGGATTTAATTTCCTGCAGTGCCTCACGGCCCAACACCCGCAAAACTATTTAAGGTTTAATGCGTGTGCGGCCTGACAAACTCATTTACCATTTATCGTTTACCATTTACCATTCGCCATTTGCGTTGTTACACTACAAGAAACTTTTGTTGAGTTGATAAACTTGTAATGTTATGAGGCTGCACCAAGTGTTGCCTAATAATCCAAACAAAACCAAACAAACAAAAAATCAACCAACTTGGCGGCCACACAACTTTTGGACCAACTGTGTGTACACACTGGCTAAGAAGTTTTTGCTTAGTGTAACCAGGATAAGTTGAGGCAACGGGTGGACTGCAGCTGCAGGCTAGAAACATTGGCACATTCATCATTTTTGAAGCTGAGCACAAGGCACAACAAAGGCAATAACAACAACAACGAGAACAGCAGCAGATGCTACTGGCAGCCGCGGCAAGTTCTTGTCACATGTCACGTTGCCTGCCTCAGTTGTTGGCCATTCCAGGATTCGGGGAGACGGTGCAAGAGTAAGGGCAGGAGCCAAAGCAAAAGCTGCTGCTGGTGCTACTGCTGCTGTTGACGAGAAACAGGCCTGTGGAATTTTTGCCACAAGCAGTTTTCGCATACTGTTGAAAAGTTTTCTCTGCAATCCAAAGAATTTTGACGTGCGCTGTATTAAACCAACGTTTTAAAGTTGCATCGATGTAAGCTTTAATGCGACAAATGGCCCAAAGGCTTAAAAAGTGAATAGCTTACAAATTTGTTTGATAAATATTTGGTAGTATCTATGCGGCATAGTTCCAAATAACAGATTTGTCGAAACTAAGACATAAAGCTTATGTTCAAATTTGGAAGAAGTCTTAAGCTAGATGTATTTTAATGAATAAATAAACTAACACAACTAATAACTAAATAAAGTTTTGCATTACTTCCACTAAGACACAAAGCTTATGTTAAATTTTGGAACAAGTCTTAAGCTAGATGTATTTTAATGAATAAATAAACTAACACAACTAATAACTAAATAAACTTTTGCATTACTTCCATTAGTTCCAGATAATTTCTAAAGGCTTCCCAAATATTTTCTTATTCTTGGTGTATGATGATGAAAATACACTGCAGGTCCACCACTATATTAAAAATAATTAAAGTGTTCTTCAGTCAGATGAGCCCAATGTATGAGCTCAACTTTTTTCGACACCCTTAGAAATAGGAACTCGTAACATATACTGGTCTGTGCCTAGTCAGAAAAGTGTCACAATGATTGTGAGACGTTCACTAAGAAACTTACAGATAGAAAATTACTAGTAGCCGCCTTTAAGAACGATAAATCGGCATATCTCCCAAAATGTATAAGATAGAGTCATTTGGAAGGTAATTTGTTACTAACCTCCTTTATGGCCACATCCGCCGCCCCAAGAACGTCGGCCGTGTGAATCTGAAATGCGCATATCTTCCCCAAATTGTAAGCAAGAATCACCAAATTTTGAGAGTAACTACTGGAAACTCCTCTAAGAGATCGATATGCCCACTCCGTCCTCTTAGACGATTCACCTTTTCGTGTAAATAGACAAGACCATATATTTCACACAATTTGATTAGCTGAAGTTACCAAAATTAATAAGTATATTAAACAAAAAAAAAAATAAAATTTTGAACCGCGTTCACTCCCACCACGAAAAGCAATAAAAGCCTATATAGCTCCCACAATTTAAGATCCACAGTTACCAAACTTGGACGGAAAATTACTATGAAACTCCTCTAATATTTTTTTCTGCCACCTCCATTACTACCCAAATTTACAAATTCATAAAATCCAATATATATATCCTGTTATCCGATGGTTTGGCTTATTGATATGAGAGTATTTCGCAGTCAGTTACGTCCGTTGCAGTCGGATGTTATCTCGTGTGCTATGTTATTCATGTTGATTTATTCCGGTGCACCAAAATTTAATGTTAATGAGCTGGTGACAGAGCTGTTAAATGAACCGAAAATTAATTATAATTATAAGTATAATTAACTTAGCATATGTTGTTTTGCTTAAATCAATTTGAGTGATATGTATATATATTTTCCAAGCAATCAATAAACCTGATTTTATAAAATACGAAATATTTACATCATTTAAAATGTAGCGTAAATATATTTTAGATATTTTTCAAGAAAAATTTCTTAAGTTCCTCAATAAAAATGCCACAGAAATGATTGTTAAAATGTGAAAATATATATTTTACTTAAAGAGTTCGAAGGGTACATTAAATAAGTATAGCACATAAGGCAGTACGGTGATTGCAGGATGCTTTTGTGCATGCTTGTGTGTGTGTGTATGTGTGGGTGTGTTCATCAGTTTCTCAACTGCTTAACCGCGTCTTCTAATCGAACGACGACGACCTCCCCTGCGACCGCCACGACGGCGACCACCGCGACGACGACGGTTGTTCCTTCTGCCACGACGACTACCTCCGCGTCGGATGACACGCCTGGCACGGGCATCCTCACTGCTCGGTCGTTCGATTACCTCTCTGTTGGGCTTGTTGCTGTCGACTGTGTTGCGGTTCTCGTTCGCCTGCATCTGCTCCTGCCCATGCTCCAACTCTTGATCCACCTCCTGCCTATCTTCGACCTCAAGCGAAGCCCGGCCGACTTCACCACCTTCGTCGCGGACAACGGAATGGCGACGCTGCGTGGCTGCCTCGGCGGCCACCAGACAGCAAAGGGCCGCCAGGGCAAAGATCAGTGCGTATTTGCTTGACATGCTCGATAGTAGCTCGATGAAATGATTGTGATACTCTCGTTTCACCATCAACTGTGTTTTATAGTGGTACGATGATGATAAAATGGTGGCAACTGTTTAAATGTTTGTCCATTGTAAGTGAGTGGGTGGGTGGTGCTTGCCACCAGCTGTGTTTGCTGTTGCTGCTGAAAGCTGCTCGCAACTTGCAGTTGGCCATACTATTAATTTGATCTTTTGTTTGCTACTTGCTGTTGGCCTCTCAGCTGCCAGATACTTATTTGCCAGTCTCTTGCATTTGCCTTGGAATGTAGCTTCCTCTGTCTCTAGCTGCCTTGGTTATTCGCTTCATTTCCTTGCTCCTTGCTCATTGCTACAGATAATTGGTTCCTCCAGCTCCATCGCAATCCAAGCACGCTAACCCGTTTGCCAGCGGAAAATATCATTTAAAAAGAATAACGTAAATAATCGAATTGTGCACAAAAGCGTTTTAAGTTGCGCATTTGCGCATCTCCTTCTATTTTCCCCTCTGTGTCCTTATTTTAATGGTGCTTTTGCCCTCTTCTCCTTTCTTCCCTTTGAATGAGCAAAGGTCTAACGTTTACAGACTCTAGCAGTTGTGAGCATCCCAGATAGAGGAAGCAGTGGTACAAGGAGTCTTAAAGAACACTGGAAAAAAACCTCTGTGCTACGATAGTTTGGTCATATCACTAAAAACAGTTTATCTGAGGTATGCAAAGTCTTTAATTCAATTTTCCTTGATACAATTATTAAAATGAAAATATCTGCACTAAATCTGAATAATGGGCTATTATTGTATTTTTTATTTTTATTTGAAATTTCAAAATAATTTTTTTGTTAACATCTGTTTACAACTCTCGTCTGTCATGGTACCTATAAGTACGAATAACATTATTCATACGTTAAATACTATTTTTTTGTGCTCACTGCCTTGCTTTTATATGTAAACCTTTTTGCTATGCTGGCGTTTGCATCGGAATCAGCAACTATTAAAAACTGCAGAAAAAACCACGGGTAGCGATTTGCTCATGCCTTGAATTGAATTACAAATTCGCAGCACCAGCACCAGTACAGTCACTGTTACAACAAGTGAGGATGGTACAGTCGGGCGAAATGACTTGGGAATATATTGATACCAGTTTTATGCCAGCTGATAAAATATTGAAAATAACCTCCTTGTGTGTGTGTGGCCTGGGAAGGTAGTGGGTGTGTGTGTGCTTTGACCAAGTAATGTGCCATTCAAATTTGGTAACTCAATTTTCGGAGGCATCTTCGGAGGAGGTTCCAGGATTGGTAACTCTTGCTCTAAATTACAGGGAATATGGAGTTTTCCGATTAATGGGATTATTAAATTATTACACATTGTTAAATATATCTTAGGAGTTTTCGAGTAATCTACAAACCAAGTTTGGGAAGTGTTGGTCTAAAAGGAGGATGGACTAATTTTTCGAAGCGGGAGTCATCGTGGCCAAATTTTTTGTTTCACGACTTTTGAATGGTGTTTTAAATTTGTTGACTATAGCATTCAAATTGTGTAAAGTAATTCGGTTTATGGGCGTGAGTTGGCTTGACCATAAATCATTAGTATTTTTTGTATTTTAATAGAAGTTTATGTGCAGTTTTTTATTCAAAACTCTCTTTGATAACTGTTACTCAAAAATTGTATTGCAATTATCGATTATAATAATTTTCTAGTCCCTAGTGCACGTACCACAAAAATCTTAAGTATATCTGACGCGGCGATAGACGAGTATAAGTTAAAAGTTTGAAGTCTCTAGCTAAGAGTATAAGAGAAAAGTCACAATAACCGACAAACAACATAACGGATATTGCATCAAATTAATATACATTTCTAACTTCAGTATCAAAGTATAGAACCTGTGGCATTTTCGATTTTTAGAGGCGGAGGGGCAGTGTACTAGTAGTACAGAGTACTAATCAAATTTGGTAACTTTTGCTTTATCGATTTGCATTTACCGATTTCTTAGATCCCTCTTGAACGTAACATCTTAAGTTTAACTCGTTGTCTAAAATGGGCATAGAGAATGAGATGAGGAGTTTTTTAGGTCCACACTGAATGCTTGTAGACTTGACCTCGTATATTGTATTTTGGTCGGTTGCCAGATATCAACCATATTTATTGCGCTCATGCGCGTTGCCAATAATTTCTGTTTTGGCAGCTAACAGACTGAAAGTGGCAGGGGCGGGTTTCGAGCAGGACAAATATTAGAGTCAGCTGAAGCACGTGCAGCAAGTGGAAATCACGTGGCTGGCATTTGTTGAAATGATTTAGAGCTACCAATGGATTTTTTCCCTCTGCGTACCTTAAACTTTTATTTAGTTTTGATTTGGTCAAGAGGACAGCTCCAATAACAGCTCTCCGTAATCCACATTTCTCGGAGCGATCTGGTTATTTGTCAAACAATTGGAACCAATTCTTATGCAGCACAGTGAACGTCAATCAATATGCTGCTACCAATGTGCAACGTCCTCCTTTTCGCCCTTTAGTACTATCCCCGTCAAAAACTAATTAAAAACAGCTTCATTTTTCACAAAAGCTTTAGCAATTTTCAGTCAACAAAGGAGCTCGCATGTTGCTCCATCAATCTGGACAAGCTCTGCTCGGACTTGAAAATTTTTAATTGGCAAACGCCAAATAGATAATCATTTTCCTGCTTAAGCTTCCAAAAGAAAATATGTTTCTTGTTATAAATGTGTAATGCAATAAATAAGGAAAATTATAAGAGTGTATATTGGAGAACTTTAATTAGATTTATGTATAAAATCATATATTATATTGTATAAATGATCTCCAAGTGCGTAATTTAAGTGTAAATATTTAATTAGAAGACCATGCGCATAAGTTTAATTCAGGTTTGCGTAATGAAAAAGTGTTATGATTTGCTCTAATGTTTCTTAACTGATTAGCGTGACCCTTGTGCACAGTAGATGTATTTGTGCACTTTGTATTTGTAAAGATGTATTCGTATATCTCGTTTTTCGTATATTTATATATATATTTATATATTTTTACCCCAATCTATTAAAATAAAATATAATTCCGTTTCAGCAACATTTCAGTGCAGACTTAAAAAGCTGCATCTGCAACCGCAACATGAGCATACTTTTAATAGACTCAATATTTAATATGATGTTGGTCCTAAAGCAGAATGGAATTCATACTAAATTATGCAGAACATGGCACATAATCAGCGAACGCGCAAATACGTGTGCATTTTGGTAACCACATCGTGTAATTAAGGAAATATTTTTGAAAATGTTTGTGCAACGCAGCTGTAACCAATACAACAAAGATAGCGATAGACGGAGGAACAGAGAATCAGAGAGACAGAGAGACAGAGAGAGAGAGAGAGAGAGAGAGAGAGAGAGAGAGACAGAGAGACAGAGAGAGAGAGAGAGATGAAGTAAGTAATACAGAAATTAGCAGGTGCATATTTGAGGTAAGTGGAATGTGAATGGGTTGTTGGATGCACAGGATGCTGGCCATTCGCAGATTTGCAATATAATTAAGAAGCGAATGGCAAATGAGCAGTGCGCCAAATTATGCATACCCCACGTGGCTGCAGACAAAAAATTAACATGAGCAAGGCATCGGCTAGTAAAGCCAAGCAACGCAAATGCTAGAGTGAGTATTTTGCTGTCGTAAGTGGTTACAATAATGTTCGTGCACATTATAATTAGTTACAATTCGATAACAAGTGCAGTTCATGTAAATAAGAATGCTCTGAACCCAGATGGTTACCGTATTAAATCGATTGAAACCAGTTACTGGAATTGATATTATCAGTACGGAAAAATTAGTATCGGTATCAAAAATGTATATACCAATGTATGGAACTCTTCAATCCTTATTCTTAACTACTGTTATGTCGCAGAGAGAATATCAGATTGAAGGAGACGAACTCGACTTCATAAACTTCATTTAATAGGTTATTTTCACAAAGGGAAATTTCTATAAGTAAGAATGAATAAAGAAATGCCTCATGTATTATAGATTAAAATAAATGTTTCTGTTCTAATTGACAAAATGATGCAAGTGTAAGTAAAATTATGCATGTGCAAGTAATCTGCTGCTGCTAGGCACCTGTCGGCAGTACCATGAACCCAACAAGACCTATCAACACGACTAAATTGTATCCCAAAAATAACCTAACATTTTGTTGTTATTTTCCGAAAAATAAATGAGATTTCTATTGAGAATAAAATATTTATTGTCTTGCTTATGATGCTAAATGGGCTTTCTAACAATGTGATCGTAAAAAATGATAGTGCCAATTAGGGGAGAATGTATCATAGTACGTTTGACGCAAGAAGTATCATGACTTACATCCAAATGAATGATCTTATGGTCACCCTTGTGCATGAATACCAGTGATTGTCCGATATGCAATGTTTCATAATTTTCACTATCGTTGTATGTCAGGACTTTTTTATGAAGATCATAGTAGCTCAAATGATTGGGCCTAGGGCGCAATTGAGTCGTTCCCTCGAATACGCCCTTCCAATTTGTCGATCCACGCTGATTCAAGGCGAAGCTGCGCAAACTACTCGCATAGTCCATATAGCCCGATATATCAAAACCACTCGGTCGGCGCACCACCAGAAAAATGATAGTCTGTAAAAATATGCACAAATATATACTTATGAAAATCTTTACTGTAACTTTCTCTAACCGAAACCTTTTGCAATACATTGGGCATCTCGCGTTTCGCCAATGCCAGTAGACCAGGATCGTTGTTATTTAAGTATTTGCCGTACTGCAAATTCAATTGTTTCTTCGGGTTAATCATTTCCATTGCCTTTGCTCGAGTTTTTATGAATTCCTCTCTCTCATAGATTTTACTCGTGGTCCGATAGCCAAGTTTAATATATTGTTCAATGACAGTCGAACTCTGCAAATAACGACGATCGTCTGCGTTGATGAATGATTGAATGTAATCGGTATAAGTGTCAAATGCGAGTAAAGCATAGTCTGCCCTGACCGCATCCATTTTCTTTCTTTTATGTGCTTTATTAAAAAATTTGTGTTTGTTTTTTAAATGTGTGTGGTTTTAATGTATATTGTATATATATGTGTTTGTGCTGTATTTTATTTTATGAATTTATGTATGACAAACTGACATTTTAGGCTAATACAATATATACTTTTGAGAAAAGCATTTGTAAAAAGTAGTCCATTGTCACATATTGACCCGATCAATGTTTAAAATAACTATGATAAAGCGGTAAGTATATAAATTGGCATTTTCCATATTAAAAAGTTTTTGACGATAGTTATAAATATAAAAAAAAAAAGTTATAAATGATAATACCCAGACTTTTTGTAAATTTTATGTCTCCTGCTTACGATATATGATTAAAATCGTCTGCGACGAATATTGCAATATTGATTGTTATATTGATATTCAATTATGGGTACATTTAGTAGCTATATTGTATAGCAGTATTACGATTTCGATAATACATGAAAAGTCTTGAGGAGGATTCATAAAGCATGTTTTCAATCGATATGTCTGACGACAGATGTATTGTCACACCGGGCATTTCGTAAAAATTTAATAGATAAGAAAATGGCAGTTATTTTAATTTTCGTATATGGGTATATTTTCCATTTGATTAATTTTCAACTTATGATGCTTTTCTAACGACATGATCGTATAAAACTATACAATTATACATTGGCGAACGGATGGATGTGCGCTTTACATTATCCTTGTGCCAACTGTCGGCGTTCGTAACTGGGATGAACTTGTGATCGCCAAGATGCTGAAACATCAGCGAAGCACCGTGGTGCATGATTGCGTAATTGTTGCTTGGATTGTAGCAAATGGTGCCACTGTGCCAGTCAAAGAAGCTCAAATGGCTGCGTTTGGGTCGCAGCATAATGCGACCCTCGAAGACAGCCTTCCAATTGGTGCAACCTACCATATGGAGGTTGGCGGCTAGTAAGCTATCCGCGTAGTCGATATAACCCGATATGTCGAAGCCACTCCGTTGTCGAACTTGTAAAAAGATAATGGTCTACGGCAGGCAACAGTTTCAAATTAGTCATGTCACGGATTAGTTACTTTCAACTACTTCTATTTACCGATAACTTCTTTTGCAAATTGCGCTCCTCGCGTTCAGCTAGCGCAACTAGCACTGGATCATCGCTCGTCAGATAACTGCCAAAGAGTTTTACTGATGTTGTTTTTGGGTTGATTAGTTCCGTCAGATGTTTCTTGAGCCTATAGAAGTCGTCCTCCTCATGAATAGTGGCATTAGTCCGATAGCCAAGTTTCACAAGCGAATTTATAACTTTCTTGTTTCCCAAGTAACGGTATTCCTCTGGTCTGGTAAACGATTCCAGATATTCCGCATATGTCTCGAAATTGAGCAGATTAAAGTCGCCGCGCATTTTGCTTAAGTCTCGCTTAATTATTTCTGGTATATTTTAATTTCACAATTTCAAAGAATGTATTTCGGTTTATCTGCGTGCTTTTATTAGTGTTGATGGATCCATTCTGAGTTTCTGAACGAAACAGTGGGAGTTGCTTGCTCCAATAAAGCTAAGCTTACTTAATATTTTATTATTTTTTAAAATTAATTCGGTTTTTTTTTATACCGGAAAATAGTACCTGTCATTGATCAAAATTTAACAAACGAACACAAAATTTCGTGTAAATAATTTAAAAGCTCTCATCGAATTTACACTTAGACCTTGAAAATTAAAAATACTTAGGTAATCAGTTTAATAACTATTACACAGTGTTTTGAAAATATGCTTATAATTATTATGTGAAATCAATATTCCCGATTGGTAAGTAAAACCTTATCTGCTGAAAGTTAAGTGTTAATATTAGTTAGATTCGCGTAAAAATACATTCAGTTTATTTAATCAAAATAAATACATATTCATTTAAGCATAATAACCAGGAGCTGTTCACACACACACACACCCACAACAAACACAATTTGCAGAGTCACACATCGTTATACAACCGGGTGGGGAGCAGTACCTGCTTAAAGTGAGTCTATACTAGAGTACAAATGATGCTCACGCATTGCTCTCCTGTTTTTGCCTGGCAGCGTAAATTACGCGCATAAAATGAACATTAGATTCTTATTTTAATGTGCCGGAGCAACACACACACACACACACACACATACGCACCCCACACATGCCATAAATAATAGGAGGCTAACTGCACACACACGCTGGCAATGCCAGCGACAGCAACAAAAAAGGTTATGCCAAATAACCTGCAGCTATTACAAACACAAACAGTCTGCAACACATTCCTATGAGTGTGTGTGTGTGTACTTATTTCCATTACAAATGAGCTTATTATGCGCCTGAGTCACAAAGTCATTGCGACTTAAAAGGATTTGCATGTGATTAGCAGCACGAAATGTAAACAAAATTCTTGCGCCAAAAGACAAAAACCAACAGTGAATAAAAAACTTTGTATTTTCAAAGAACGCAATGCTGATACTCTTATTTTTATTTTTAATTTTTCGTATACCTGGCAAATAATTATTTATTATATTTTATGCGTTACTTAATATCCTGATTTAAAAACTGGTATTACTTCACATATTAATTGTAATCCATTTAAAAAGCGTATTATAATATTATATAATATGTTGATAATCTTGTTTATTTTTATAATTTTTAATGTAAACTATATTTTTTGCAACTCCACAGCTGACTAGATGGACACTTGCCCCGAAACCGGCGAAAGATATATTTTACTTTGTTGCAATTATTTTGTTCATATTTTGAATTTTAGTAAAAGTACACCCCAGATTAGTAGAAGATGAAACAGGCAAATCTATTGTAAAGCTTAATACTCATTGTTGCCTATTAAGCGTTACCAACGTCTTCGCAATGTTGATACATCCATTTGTGTAGGTATTTCGTAACAAAAGGCTATTTGTAAGCACTTGAAAAGTTGAGCAGCCGAAAAAGTTACACACACTTTGTACGGGAATGTGTGCGTGTGTTATTGTGTGTTTTGTAGGTACTTGATCTTTGTGTTTGTATTGCATATTTGGCAAATTGCCTTTGGCAACGAGACGCATTAAAACAATGAACACATCATAATCATAATTTCTGTTGCCTAATTTTAGGGGCATCGCTCGAATGCTGCGTGTAAATGAGTTCATGTGTGTGTGAGTGAGTGTACGTGTGTGAATATGTGTGTGTGCGTGTGTGTGTGTGTGTGTGTGCGCACGAATGTCTGTTCAAATAAAATGCATAATTTATGTATGGCGGCGTAGATTTTGGTCTTGGGTGGGCTTAACTTGGCATTGGGAAATCGAAATCGAAATCCTTAAAATCAGCACTGAAATCACCTGACTGACAGATAGATGCTTTCGAGTGGCGCCTTGCGCTTCAATTGTCCTGCATAATGGATATTTCTTTTGCATAAGCCTTGAATTCTTATTGGAAAGCCTCTCAGCAGCAAACAGAGAAGCGATTTTGCATTTTAGCCAGGGCGCTGACGTATAATTGAAGTTTACTTAAAAGTGTTGCCGATGGACAGGTAAAAAGGCAAGAATAAATAATATTGATTTTTTTGAAAACCCGACTAATGAGTCAGTATTTGTATTTATGTATATACATCTATATAGAGTTTACTTTCGATATATAACATTTTCTAACACTCATTGATTTCTCGTTAAAATTAAAATAATTTCTAATCATATTTAAAAACTACACATTTTGTGCTTAAGTAAGCGTTTAAGTTAAAAATTAAGTAAAATATATGGATGTTTCTTGTAATTAATAAATGTGATTTATTATTTTATTGAAAAATCATCAAATGCATTAATTTACCATCGTTATCTTGCTCAAAGTTAAATAAATATTAAATAAACTTGATAAAATTCATATAATAAAACTATTGCATGTATATATATTAATCTGAGGTAATGAAACTTCGAAGAAAAATAAATATTTGCATTACTTTAACATTTAATTTTTGATAAGTAAGAAATTGCTAACGCACCTTTATTCAAACTTTAATCTGCGTTAGATGATCAAGTATCTCTTAAGCGTGCTTTAGCTATGCTGCTATACAAATACTCATTATGTGTATAGCTGAATATGCTTCTTCATAAAATGACGTCAACTTTGCTGTGATATAACGGCACTGACTTGCTTTTTATACTCACATACTCACAATTTACACACACACACACATACACTCACGTCCATGAAGTGAGCATTCGCTCAGCCTTTGGGCAGAATTCCATGAAAAAGTAAACAAGTCAAAAGCGAGAGACCAAATAAATAAAAAAAAAGTAATAAAGTAAAAATAAAACTCAGACAGCTCATGAATGGAGCCCATTGAATTGGTAGTTGGCACAAAAGACTAGACTTCAAGTTTAGCTAAAAGCTAAATAAAAATATAAATACATACATATATATATATAAATATACATATATATATATATATATATAGAAATGTATGTACACCTAAATGTATGTATTAAAAAAAATTGCGAAAATTGTTGTGCTTTTGAATAAATAAATCGCAGCGCAAATAAAGGTGAACGGCAAAATAAAGCAGCAGATAACAACAACAGCACATATGACAACAAGCAACGATGACGTCAAAGTTCATGTTGACTCAGCACTTGGCCAAGTTTAAGCTGCTACCGTCTCATCTGTGAAGCACACTTTCCACAATATAAAATATAGGAAGACGTAATTTAAGGCCAAAGACTTGAACATCAAAAGGTTTGCTGCTTATCTGCTTATCGTTGGCGTCACTTAAATTAAGCATGTGTGCCACGTGGCTAAGCGCCCATGGCTATTAAGCAACACACAGGCGAAAGCAAACTGTGCATAAGACCCAATCAAGACGAGAGAAGGCAACAAGCAACAACAACATACAGTACAAGCAAGCAGTACACACATCAATACCCTTTACATACCTCAACGCTCTGGCACTCTGGCAGCATTGTCCCTGCAGGCATGTCAGGCTCTAATGCCAACACTGACACACTCCGTACTCCCAGGGCTCTGGCTTCGGCTCTGCTTATAAAATAGGAATCAGCGTGTAAGACAACAGCATACCCAAAATTCCACTGTTTTCCCAATAACAAAAAAAAAAGGGGAGCCCAAACAAAATGTATCATGTGTGTTGCATCTTTGGCCCTTTTTCTGCTCGGGGCCTCTGCGACAGACAAAGAAGAAAACAACGAAATACAAGTCAAATAACTTAAGTAAATGTGCGAAAGGCCTTAAGAGCTGAACTCGAGTGTCGCAGCACCCTGGAGCGTTCTCTCCTGCTTAAATAAACATGTGATATGCAGCGACTTTCTTATGTTAATTTAATTTAGCTTAGCTGCTATCAGAACTAACACTGAAAAATGTACCCTTTACTTCTGCTTAAATTCCTATAAATACGTGTAAGCATTATGAATTGCGATAAATATGGAAAAATGTATTCTAATAAGTAGGTTAGCGACTCGTGAGCATTTCGTTAATTTATCCATATTAAAGATAAATAAATAACGATTTTTTAACATTGCAATTATTATTGAGTATGTACAAAAATACTGTTTAAACATTAAATTTACTATTTTATTTTATTTAAATCAAATCGATAAATAATATAGATAAAAAAAACTATTTCAAATTTTATTTATTTTTATTTTCTTTGCTGTCTCAATTGATCATTTCATTTATTGAAACCCTCTTGAATCACATGACTGGCGTGAATGATTTATTTGTGCACATGGTGTGTCCTCTATGCTGGCTGGCATTCACATACAAACATACATAGATATGTGTGTATTTTTTCCCTTGGCAATTTCCCATTTTAAATGCGAGCTAATTTATTAGCAAGCATGCCGAACAATCAAAGGCGGCACCTTAACAATTTTTAATAAATGTCACACATGCCGTGGCAGACCAAAATTATTGCAATGCATTTGTCACGCGCGTTTCGCAGCAGCTGAGAGAATAAGCTACAAAAATCAAATAAATTTACAAACGCACAAATAAATTCAATAAATAATAATATTTTTAATTAAAATTGAGCACAGAGCAAAATCCACTTGTAGTTTTGAATTACATATAATGCAACACATAAAAGGAACTGCTTTGTTATTGGAGCCACTTATTGTAAGGAGAGCACGTGAAAAGTTTGATTAAGATATCTTATAAATAAACAAAGTTTTTCATAGATGAATTTAAACGATCACCAGACATTTTTCATGTAAGCTTTATGATATTGTAGTCCGGTATTGATATATTTTTGCCATCATGCTATGAGCATTAAAAGTGGTTGATTAAGATATATGGTGATGAACTCATCTCTCGACTAATGATAGTGGTCTATATAATGGTCTGATTTATTTTCTATTAAACACAGGAAAACTATGGATTCGCTCAAAGTTTTAAAAAGTTAGTGTTGATTATTACAAACGGACAATATTATTTTTGTCAGACAATGTGTTTGAATAAATTTTCTTGAGTTTTTGAGTTTCATTATTTAATTTTACTTAGC